TGTAATAAATGTATTGTTCATTGTTCGTTCATGATAGTTAATACATTAACTAACATTAACTAATGGAACCTTATTGAAAAGTTTTACCTTAATATTAAATATCAATATATTATTATTCACTTCTATGTAACAGAATCAGATATAAGTTGTTGTTGTTGTTGATGTTTTTTTGACTTAATTATCCAAATAATGTATAGTCCTACAAAGCTATCATCAGAGCATATGAGCAGAGCAGAGCATAGCATAGCATAGCAGAGCATAGCATAGCAGAGCATAGCGTCACTGAATCCATATGCATCAATTTTCTGTTCTGATCTCAACAAGTCTGGGCAAACCAGTGTTGCTAACTTCTTTCAATAGAAAGTAGCTAAAGCCAGTTTGAAAAGTCGCTAAATGTCGCCAGATGACGTCATTCACTAATTAGCATATTAATGACGTCAGCGAGTCTGTTGTCTTTTACATTTGTTTGTATCTCTTTGCTCACATACTGTATAGAGAAGCAACATAATATCTATTTTAACTGAAGGCGCTGCTCCTCTCAGCTGCTCGCTGTACAGAGCAGACGCAGAGATAGAGGTGTGCGCGCACTGACCTCGCGCCGTTGCGTCAGTACCAGCGATCACAGAGACTCGCTAAGGTTTGTCCAAGAAGTCGCTAGATTTGTCGCTAGTCGCTTTTTTGGAAAAAAAGTCGCCAGGGGGGTCTGAAAAGTCGCTAAATCTAGCGACAAAGTTGCTAAGTTGGCAACACTGGAGGAGAGTGAAACATGCGCGCTGAACACTGCGGGGCGGGGCGCGATGAGGCGTGCCATATATTATTATTATTATTATTATATGTAGCCTATATTTTCAGTGCATCCCTACTTACATCCCCTCCTTGTTTACAAATCCGAAGTAAGTCCATACATCCGATTTAAACGCGGACGGGGCTTTCCTGATAATTTTCTGCAATGCCGCCCTCTTTATTTTACTAACTTACTGCATGCTGAAGGTGACCCAGCTGACCTCACCAGAAAAAAACTCAACACCACCATCTAGTGGATTGTAAAGAAATTGATTTTATTATTTTACCAAATAGTATAATAAAAGATCGATACTTGTATCGATACAGTATTGCTGCGGAAAATATCGCGATACTGATAAAAACTACTTAATTACTGTAACGTGAGTATTTGTAATTCGTTACTTCACACCCCTGCGCGATACTATGCTGTATCGATTTTTTCCCCCACCCCTAGTAGATTCTGAGTCTGACTAACTTGAATTCCTGTGATTGTCCATTACATTTCTGATCTCAACAGACATGTTAAAATGTGTTGTAAATAGAAACCTTTGACGCTCTTCAGAGTGTAGATGCAGTTGCCGATGTGTGGGTACCGAACAGAGTCAGTACTCAGTATTACCAATACTGCAAAAAGTCTGGTATTGTCACATTTTTAAAATTTTTAATATCAACTTGGTACTGAAGTATCGTTACTTTTGACAACACTACCCAGCAACTTCAAGCAGACAAAAACAGGAGTTCATGATATGCTTGAACTTCAAGAGATTTCTGTACACTGTTCAGGCTCACAACTAATCAGAAGCTTTCAGATAAGACTTTTTACAGAGTTCCTGCTCATGTTAGCCACACTTTGGCTCCATGCCCACCAAAAGAGACTCTGACACACTGCTCACCAGTCCTGCCTGCTTTTCTCTTTATCCTCTCACTCTCTTTCTGCGTCTCCCCCTTTCCCGATCGAGGCCTCCATTGTCAGAGCAGTTCCGATGGAAGCCATGTCTCCGTGTTTGTTTGGCCCCAGCGTGTTTCAAGCACGGCTCCTCCAGGTGCTCTTGGCTGTTTTGCTTTGGCTTGGAGAGATGGAGAGTGGACAGATGTTTTGTGTTTTTAATCCTTTTAAGTGGAGTGGATTTGAGGTTTAGGGAGGCCGCTTTGATAATTTTTCCTGTTTGCTCTTCTGGTGCTGTTATGATTTTGATAGAGGGGAAATGAAAAATACAGAACAGGGCAAGAGAATGCAAAAGAGCAGCCATGATGCATTTCCCCTGTTGTAAAGTAGTGATGAAGACCAGACTTTAGACTTGCTTTATTTGTATTTTGTCTTTTAGAGTTGTTGGCATTTGTTTGCAGTTTGAATCTTTCCATTTCTGGTACTTCCTCTGGCTTTTACTTTATATCTTTTAAGGATTCTTACATATTACAGTTCTGGCTGATACTGATAAGCAAATTATTATTTTTCTAGTATGGCTGATAGTAAAATTAAATACCATTTTATCTAAATAAATTAAAAATAAAACACAAAAGCTACAAATAAATAGTTTCAGATGCTAAACATGAATTTTGGAATCACAACATTATTATGTACAGTATGGAAAATAAATATTAATTTTGAGAACTGCTGAATATTACATTTAACAGTATTAAATGATTAGTGTTTTCATAGATGAACCATGAGCGTTAGAGGATGGCAAGGTTAATCTAAATGTAAAATTAGGGCAAATGAGCATGCATAATTAAATATCCAGTATTAAAAAAAATCAGATGTAGCGTCATATACATTGTGCATTCTTAGTTTTTTTTTTTTTGAAAGAAGTTAATGTTTATTTAGCATGGATGCATTAAATTGTTCAAAGGTGACAGTGAAGATTTTTACATTCTGTTGCAAATAAATGCTGTTCTTTTGAATACTTACTATTCTTTAAAGAATGCTGAAATAGTCCTGTAAAAAATGTATCGCACTTTCCACAAAAATATTAAGCAGCACAACCATTTTTAACTGTGATGATGATAATAAGAAATGTTTCTTGAGCACAAAATTAGCATATTAGAATGTTTTATTTAAATTGCAGTAATATTTCACTGTATTTTAATATAATATTTTCACAATGTAGCATTATTGAGTAATTTTAATAATTTCAGTAACTCCTACGCTACATAAGTAGTGTAGTTACACAAGTAACTTTGTTTTTATGCCAAGTAAATGCTAAATAATATTTTTTTTGATAATAAATTACATCCATTTTAAAGGACATAATAAAAAATAAATAGTCCCCGTAAATAGATTTATTGTAGTTTTTTTTGTAGTGGAACTGTCAATTTTCTCAAAAGGACCCAAAACTACTTTTACTGCTAGCTTTGCATACAAAATAGCCTTCCCAGCACTTGTAATTTGTATGTAATTAACATTTTAATTCTAGAATCAGAAATGGGCACGAAAATGGTGATGTCTTTGACCCTTTACAGACCCCGGATCCAGACCTGTCCTCAGGCAGCAGTGAGTCTTTGCCGGCGCTGGAGAGGAGGAACGGTCTGTCGGGAGTGAGTCTGAGCGCAGAACCTCCGTTAGAGGAAAACCTGACTTGCACTGAGCTCACAGACAAAGCTGCCTTGACTGTGTGCCCCAGCGAGGGCAACCAGACCCCAGAGACTCCCCTGTCCTCACCGGATGTGTCAAGTCCAGTGGGGAAGAGGCCCAGACGGAGCCCCCTCACCCCGAGCAGCTCCCGCCGGAGGACTGGTGAACGCTCCGTACCCAAACGCAACACCGGCAGGACTCCCAAACGGACCCCCAGCGTCCCTATACTACAGCACCGCAAAGCAACCCTCTGTGTCTGCTGAACTCCAAAAGACCGACAAAGATCCTGGTTTCTGATGTTCTGCATGGTCTCAAGAATAAATAACTGCTATTGTTTGTGTCCATGTTTTGACTATGTGCCACTGTTTCTGTTTATAATGTAGGATTTTGTTTCCTGTGTTATCATCGTGTTTTTTGTTCTTTCCTTTAATTTTAAGGGTGTAAATGTGAGAGTAAAAAGAAAATCTCATTTTTAGCAATCGGATTTATAGTTATTTTACATGTAAAAAAAACAAACAATGCAGATCAGTCTTTTAAAGGAAAATTCATTTAAAGGATGTATTTAATCTTTCTCCCTTTAAATTAAACCGCATTATTCGACTCCATCTTTGAAATGACATGAATTACTTGTATAGATTTTCTGAAAATGACCAAATAGTTGGAGGTATGCAATATATATTTTTATACTTATTATATTTTTCAAAATGCCCAGTTTTCTTGCCCCACAGTGCTTGTGTGCACATTTGCCCTTTGCCAATATACTTTATTATTTGTTCATTTAATATTCACACCAGTATTTGGTAGCATTGTCCTGTCTTTTTAATTCTGAGTTGCTGCATTAATGTTTTTGTTTTCAGAGAGCATGAGTTAATTAATCTGAGACATATCACTGATCATTGGACTACAGAGCAAATGTATTTATTTTCTTTTGATAAAACCTTTGTAAAAGTTGAGGATTGCATGCTCTGTTATATCCTTATAACTGTCTTTTTCTTGGGGCGTTTTGATTTTTTTGACTGTCCACCTTTTTGTATGTATTTCAATATTGTAAGTTATTTAATATCAGTAATGTCTGTCAGATAACATCTTCCAACACCAGATCCAGAGCTAATGTGATGTGTGGTTATGAGCCGATGTTTAGACGAAGGAGTGTACAGCACATTTTAGCGGGATGTTTGTTGCCCCATGTTTGAGACTTTGTCTTTTTGAAGGAGATTTAAACTCTAAACTCTCAAGGTGGAAAATAAGTCATGTTTTCATAGTGTTTTTATCCTTGGAGATGAATTTTCACTATTTGCTATAGTGGCAGCTTTGGTTTGAGTACTCGTTGTTGCCTGAATGACAGTGACAGTTTGATGGATTTAAATTCATATAGAGTTTCTTAAAAAAACATCTACAAAGGCCATAAATAATTGAATTTGAGAAAAAAAAGATAAATAATATTGTTTTAATCCGATTCTGCATGTTAAAACTTGTTATAGAGTGTGATTTTGTTTTTGTTACCCTTTTATTCCGTTAAAACCAGTGGCGATTTCACTTCATTGTAATAGCTCTGGCCTGAGCAGTATAGGGGCAGTTGGGTATCATGGAGGCTTTCCTCTTTCACTGGTTTTCTGAAATGTGTGATAGGTCATATCGAACTGCACCTGTCTTGGAATAGAATCGAATATTAGTGTATTGGATGCTGTCTTGTTCAGGGTTTTTTTCTTTTCTTTTCTTTTCTGGAATTGCAATAAAGAGATACTCGATTTTGTGTTTAAATATTTACATGTGTTGCTATACATTTCATGAACTCAATAGTCAAATAGATCAGAAATGCTGAAACTCTTAGAATGCTTAAAGAATGTGACCGTCGTTAAGCATAAAGACCGATTGTTTAATGAAATGTAATTTAGAGCTTACTTTTGGCATCAAAAAAACTTTTAGATGTACTTTCTTCAGCCATTTTATTTTATTTTTTACAATGTTTCAAGAACTGGTGTGGCGGTGATTGTCATTGTGTTTACCCAACCACCAGGTGGTAGTCAATACTAGCTGACTAGACTGGAAGTCGAGTCTTGAGAGCGTCCACTACTACATAGTTTTGCTCGACGTTTTCTAGAAGGCTAAGACTCTAGGAGTCTAAGGTAGACTCACGCCTGACAGCGGCTAAACCCACACCCTCCAAAATGGTGCTAAACTGCCAAGGAAACACTTCTGATCTGCTGCTCCTCTTGAGTGAAGAGTGTGCGTGAGTCTGCATGTTTAACTTAGTTATTCTTCAGGATAAAATTGCTGAAAAATACCCTCAGGTGTTACCTGAATCTGACTAAACCCGCTTTTCGGGACGTTCTCAAATGGAAAACATAATAGCATAACAAAATAAACAATGTGTTTTCCCCCCCGGAAAAATACAGGTTGTGGGAATGAGTAGGTTTAGGATTAATCTGTATTATAATTAGCTGTATTTAAAATCAAAACACGTCTATCTGTCCCCATATGTCCTTAAAGGGACAAATGATTAATAGTAATTTATATTAATTAGTTATCCTCTATATAACAATAGATGTCTGTAGTACTTAATGAATTACACGTCCTAATTTAGATATTTAATGAAAACTGATAATGTCCCTTTAGGGCAACATTAATTGTAAAAAGTATTCATAAAAAAAAAACATCTATTTATTAAACAAATTAATCAATAATCGAAAGAAAATAACATCCATTTATTTGCTTGTCTATTA